GATATGTCTCCTTCCTCTATGCCTATGATGTGCAAGTTTGTTTGCTTCTTGGTGTCCCGCATTTCCTGCATATACCATTCCTCTGTCTTTTCTTTTAAAGGTTTTCGTATTCTTTGCTTGAGCTATCCGGTTCTTCAACTTTATCACCCAGTCATGGTACTCTGTTTTACAATTCATTCATTCCATTGGTGAGGCTTTTTAACTGTCATATCAAAGTGGCTTGAGTTTTTCAATTCCATCTTCCTTTTAGTTTTCTTCAGTATTTCTGCCTCTTTCGTGGATTCACTTTCCAAGACCTGAATTATCTTTGCCATTTCGTTCATTGGCATAGCTGTATTTGAGTTGAGTTGTTTTTTAAATACACTGAATTCTTTGATCATGTTTATGATTGTTCTTTTAGATTCTGTGTCCTGGGTTCTACTAGGTAGTTCTTATGGTAGAACATTTCTATAGGACTGGTAGGATTTGATACATATTATTTTGGATTTTCATATTATTTATATTTTTCATCATCATCTGGGCATGTGGATTTCCTTTGTCACTCATGTGTCTGATATGATACTCAAACCTGCCTTTGTTGAGTGAAGTTTGATTTTGTTTATATTGTTGATGTAGCTTGATTGCTATCTAATCATGTATGATAGTTAGTTGGTCTGGCTTCAGATTCTATCTTTTGGTTTTTCATTGAAGGAACTAGAAGGATCCAGGCAGGCTAGTCAGGAGCTCTTCAGGAGGGTAAAGAAGCCTAGGCTCAAATTGAGGTAGTAGGTATCAGCTGGTCTCAGAGTTCTAACTAGCTAAGCAAAGAAGGTATGGGCCCTAGAGCCAATGGACTGGAACTGGTCTCAAATGTGGGGAATGGTGATCAGGTGCTATGGGATCTCGGTACCAAATGCCATGGACTCTGGCTATCTCTGCCAGCTAGTCAGAACTTTCCGACAATGGGAAAGTTCTTTCAGTCTCAATGGGACAGGGTCAAGGCCCAAGGAGGGCTAACGGGAACAGTATGGGCTGATTCTTATTAGCTAGCAGGGAATGTTTGAGCCCTGGAGCAGCTGAACTGGCTCCAACGCAGGGGAATATGCACAGTGGTTTCTCAAAAATAAGGTTTTTAAAAAAAATTTAAATGGTCTTTTGTTCAAAGCTGCATATTGGTTTTATAGCTATCTGCTGATTTAGATGGGATATGTTGGAAGTATTGTGCTATAAATACTTTATATGTAAAACTTGGTGTAAATAAAATATATAAAAAGTTTTAGAGACAGAGAAGGAAGGACCTTATTAAAACTTGAAGTCAGTGATGCATTGTGGAGAGTTTGTTAGTTTAAGAAGTGCAAACATAGAAAGTGTTTAGAGAACTGACCATAAAGTGATGCAAGTTGAGTCTTTGTTCCTTCTTGAGTCAGAAGAACAAACAAGCTGTCTAAAAAGGTTGCTCAACTCTAAACTCCATGAGAAGCTTTTAACTCCCAAAGAAGTGTCTGAAATTGAGCACCTTGACTGACAGCCGATGTCAGCGACATTGGCCCCCACAGCACACAGCAATGACCATGCTGCTGGAGAGCACTAGAAAAATACTGAAGTCATTTTTAATTTTAAAAACTTAGTGTGGTACCTTTTAAAGTGCAGCAGCTGGAACACCTGTGAAAGAAGTTAACACGGAGCTGAGGCCTGGAATTTAGATCTAAGAGGAATCTGAGGACATGTTTCAGGGCTATTTCCTTGTAAAAGTTCATGAGAAGTCCCTGTTAGCTTCTTTAATAACTATTGGTATAAGCTTTAAGAAGTTTAGAATTTGAAAATACAGGCTAAGAACAGGTTCTCTATAGCATTTGTTTACATTCAAGATAAGGGTGAGTAATTAAACTATCTGAACTGGCTTTTGAGCTATTAGCGGCATTCTTTCCTGGGCTATAATTCATAAATCCCTGGAGTAAAGACTCCCCCACACACTGTCAACATCCCTTTGTCTTGTCTCATAGCCCCCACCCAACATTCTCCTATTTATTATTTATGTGTATTTAAAACATATTGTATACCTTAAATATACATACATATTTTTTAAAAAGCAACTTAGTCTAATACATCTCTCAACTCTCACCAGTGAAGATTCTTCATGCATCAGAGTGCTGTTCACATAGAAGGTCACAACTGGCCAAGGTATAGAGAATGAGACTGCAGAGTGTGTGTCCCTGGATAGGGCTCCTGTATTAAACCTCACTCACCCACCGCTCAGGGACTATTGCAGAAGAGGGGGTGGAAAGATTGTAAGATCCAGGGCTGGTGCATGAACATAGGGAAACAGAGGCTTTCAGGCCTCTGGGAACTTGCAGCATGCACAAGGCCCATGCTGACTCAATCAGACAAAAACACAGCCTAGAACTGGGGAAATGGGCAGCAGGCCCCAACCTTAGCCAAGGAACTATTAGCAACTGATTACCACTGGGTGAGGGGCAGTTGATCTTTATAAGGGAGGGACTAGATAGGCTGACTAGACTCCAGTGGATGAACTTGCCTCCTTGCATTAAGGGACATCTAGATACAAAAGCTTGACTGGATAGACCTTAATATATATGACAGAATGTGTGAAATCCAGGGTGGGGAGGCGAGATATGGGGGAGTGTGGCGGGGAGGGACGCTAAATATGATTACATTTTATTGTATTAAATGCATAAAAACTCAATAAAAATATACATAAAATAAATAAAAATTCTGAGCTTTAAAAAATATTTTCTTTTTTTTTAATTTTATGTCAAAAAGGATTAAATAAATAATTAATAAATAAATAAAAGTTGATAGTTCTCAATAAAAAAGGAAAATACCTTCGTCTACTTCCATTTTGTATTTGTTGTTTCTGGAATTAGAATGCTTATTTAACATGTACAAGGCCCTGGGTTTAATCCCTAGCACTTCATGTCCAAGTAAATTGGGCATGGTATACATGCCTATAAAGCCCAACACTTGGGAGGTGGAGGCAGGAGGATCAAAAGTTTAAGGTTGTCCACAAGGTCAATCTACCTCAAAAAAAAAAAAAAGCAACAATGGGTAAAGGTTCACAAAGGCTGTGCGCATGGTCTGCTTCCCCACTTACAACGGACCTTCCTCCTTCATGTCAAATACAACTCCTAATGATGGCACGTGATTGATACTTGTCTTTTAAAATATGGGGCGCTAAAAGGCAGGATTTTTCTGTCTATTAAAAATGATACATTAACGAGCATACCAGACATCTCCTAAGACGGCTTAAGATTGGAAGCTGAAGAACCCTCCAAGCACCGACTCTCCTTGCAGAGATTTGCTCTTCTGCTACAGCTCATGTGAACTATTTCTTGGGCACAAATGGCTAAAACTTGTAAAATCATAGGCCTTTTGTATGTCACCACCTGGTGAAGGAAGGGTTGATACCAGTGTAGTATAATTTGATATTGGCTTTTTGTTTACAATTTTCTCCACAGACGTTTAGTCACTAAGCTTTCCAAACTCCTGAGGTTAGTCATGAAGGAAGAGAAGAAGGCTCTTTGGCTCTTAAAGTATCTGATTTTTTAGGTATCAATGCCCTCTGACCATTAATATGTCCTAAAGCCTTCTCCAGTAGTCCATTAGTTGTGTTTCCAGAGTCAGCCAAGTGAATGGCTTTCTTTCCACTTGCATGTATTGTGACTTGTACCTTTTTATTTCCTCTACTGATTATTTTGTAAAGTTTGCTGTAAGAACATTGAAGGTATCTCACATATCAGTTACTAGAATAATATTAACCTTAAATGAAATAAAATTACTTCTTCAACTGAAGAGACTAACATGAACATTAAGTTACACACACACGCACACACGCACACACGCACACGCGCACACGCGCACACACGCACACACGCACACACGCACACACGCACACGCGCACACGCGCACACGCGCACACGCACACGAATTACTTCTTCAACTGAAGAGACTAACATGAACATTAAGTTACACACACACACACACACGCACACACGCACACGCGCACACGCGCACACGCGCACACACGCACACGCGCACACGCACACACGCACACGCGCACACGCGCACGCGCACACACGCACACGCGCACACGCGCACACGCGCACACGCGCACACATGCGCCACACACACACACACGCACACATGCACACACGCGCACACGCGCACACGCACACACGCACACACGCACACGCACACGCACACACGCGCACACGCGCACACGCGCACACGCGCACACACGCACACACGCACACGCACAGCCCTGATGTCCACAGCTATCTGGTCTGCAGTCTCAACTGCAGGTTTGTAGCTTCCAACACTGGACATTGGTGTGAAAAGTTTTCCTTGAAGATATTAACTTTCTTACCTTATGTCATTCAGTTCCTTGGCTACATATGAAACATATCATTTATCTCAACTTCTCAATACTCTTACTTTTTGGAAAAAACCCAGCCAGGTTGGTAGTTCAATAATTAAGAAATAGAAACATTTACATAATATTGAAGATAAGCCTTGAAAAACCGTAGCTGAAATTTATTTAATCCTCAACTGCCTCATTTCTCATGGGTTCTGATTGTGAATTAAAAGAAAAATCTCAATCACATGTAATAGTTTTCATTTCATTTAGTATTACCTACTGGGATTATTTTTAGTAAAAAGGACCAACAAAATTGGAAGGAATTTCACTTTCTACTTAAAATCTTCCTTTGATTCTAGAGCAAACGTGCAAAAGTTCTGAACTGAGTTTTTATAGCAACCGGGTATTTAAGAAGCCTTGGCACGTGAGTATCATTTCATGACTTGTCAGAAGCAGTTTTTTTCTCACCCTCCTCTTGTCCATGATTTTGGAGGATTCCTATCTACTGGGAAACTAATATACGTCTTCCAGGAACCCACCATGAAGATATCCTAAGCTTTTCTCCTTGCTAACAGCAATCCTGCTTTGTTGTGTCAAAGGAAAAAGAAACCTCAGCAGAATCTCACCTGCACATGTTGTTTAACAGAAAAGATGACTCCGCTGGTGGAGTGCTCCTCAGCTGAGACTCCAACCCCAGAAGCAGAGCATCAGATGGGGAGGATGATGGCAAAGCGGGCAAAAATCATCAAGGAGCTGATACAGACGGAGAGGGATTACGTCAATGATTTGGAGCTCTGCGTTAGGGAAGTGGTCCAACCCCTGAGAAACAAACAGGTAAATGAAAGTTTGAGTTGCTTTTCTTTTTCTAATATTTTCTCTCATGTTCTAAATAGACTCAGCAGCACCAGGAAGTCCAACCACCAGCTATATCAATAGGGTGGTGGGTATACCTTTCTCCTGGTTTCTAGCCCTAAATTCACATAAGGCATCACATCATTAGGTTGTATTTCTGGTGTCAAGGACAGGTACTGCTGTCCCTCCATTTACCAAAGCAAACAATATTTTAAAATGTGCTAGGAAGATAGTTCGTCTTCCTTTTTATACTATGGTCTGTGTTTGTCCATGAAATAGGTAACAGATTTGACAAATAGGTTTGTAACAGTCTGTCCATGAAATAGGTAACAGATTTGACAAATAAGTTTGTGACGGTCTTAGGAACCAGTTACTTAATTCAGTCAGTGATAATTGTGGATTCAAAAGAGGAAAAAGTGTATTAGCCCCCTCACCCACCTCGAGAGCGTAATTAAGCTTACAAATATTTAGCTAAGTAAAATTCAACATAGAAATTAACCTGGATATTAGTCAAATTTTTCTTTTTGGTAGAGGTGGCCCCAGATAAAACTTCAAGTCTTTATAAATTAATCATTCTTTCCTTTAATCAAGGACTTTTCCAGGAAATTTTTGTAGGATGGTTAGCTTAGAATGGAGGTATAAACACAGGCATTTCATTCGTTAATTCATCACTTATTTAATAATGTCTGATCATTGGCACTATTCTCAGCACTGAACCTTTGTGAACTTTTTTTCTTGAGTGCAGGTAAGGAGTCAGACAATAAATAAATAAACAAATTAAATAATATATTAGATGTGGGGGCTGGAGAGATGGAACCGTGACTAAGAGTGCTGACTGCTCTTATAGAGAACCTGGGTTCAGTTTCCAGCACCTACATGACTGATAACAACCACCTGTAACTCCAGTTCCAAGGGATCCATGACCTCTTTGGGCCTCTGCAGGCATTGCCCACATGTGTGCACTTACACACATTTAGGAAAAACATACACACAAAATAAAGATAAATAAAATATTGTAAAATATGTATTAGACATTAAGTACACCAACTAAAGCAGGGAAAGGGGATTCGGGCATGGAGAGAGGATGGAGATGTTTTGCTTCAAGTGGAGAGGCAAACAGAGATTTTTCTCGTGGGGTGCATCAGAGAAGAAAACAGAAGAAAGTAGTGAAGGGTCGAGGCAGGGCAGAGAACAAGAGGAAGAATCTCGTCAGAGTTGTACAGGGTCCTTATATACAATTTAAACAGTGTATAAAAACAAAATAGAAAGTAAAATTATAAGCAAATTGTTCCACCACTCAAAGAAAAATCACTTACTATGGTTGGGGACTCAGATACACACACACACACACACACACATTTTCATACAAAAGAAAATAGGTTTCTTACAAATAGGTTTCATTCAACAATCCATCATATACATTTTTTTCTCGTGACTTCCAATACTTTCAAAGGTTTTTCTATTATTACTGATTTTGAACTGAACTAACTCCCTTTGGGGTTTCTGCCCCCTTGCCTCCTTATAATAAATTCTTAGAAATGGAATTGTTAGAGTATGTATTAGAAAAAAACTAATCTAATTAAGATTTTGATTTTAAAATGTCGACTGCCAACCACTGTTCTAATGCTTGTTCTTGTGAGTGACAGAGAGGTCTTATTCTCTACATCGTCTAAGCATTGTTGGTTTTTAAGAAACATTCCCTTAATTCCTTCTGAAAAAAAGTCTTATATATTTGTTAATCCTTATATTTTAATCCTTTTTCATATGATTTTTAAATTATGATTTATATTTTCCTCATTATTTTTGTAAGACCTTTTTCATAGTTCTCTTCTTTCCCAAATATTGCAAATAGTTTTTTTGTTTGTCTTTTGCCTTCTAACTTTGGTTAAGAATTATGTTTCTTTTCATTGGACATGTTTATGCATTGATTCAGGGTTTAGTTTCCTAACATATACCTACAGTTATAAAAGTATTACTAGCCAGTTGTCCAATCATTAAATTCCTGGCTCTCCCCAACCAGTGTTTATAACATTCAGAAGGAGAGTAATTTTTATTTTTCTTTTGTGCATGTGTGTTGGTATACATGTCTGTTCACATGTGTGTGGGCACACATATGTGCAAGTGCACATATGTGTGCAGGTACATGTGGAAGCCCAAAGTTGATTTCTGAAGTCTTCCTCATTTACAGTCTTATACACTGAGAGAGGGTATCTAATTTGAATGATGAGCTCATGGTTTTGGCTGATCTTAGTTTGTTCTGGTGATTCCCTGCCTCTGCCTCCTGTGGGCTGGGCTAGCTGCCATGCCCGGGCACCTGGCATTTTTGTGGGTTCGGGGACACTGTGCCATCTCCTCAGCCTTCTGTTTCTTAATATTGGATTCTTTACATAAATATTAGAAAAACATAAAAATACAAATCAGGGAATACTAGTGCAGGTGAAGGGATCCTTGATACAGAGGTTCCTTTGGCAGTTTAAAACAACATCTGAAGAAGAGAGATTTCCTCACAGGAAATCTCTTTTCATTTTTCTGCAGTTCTTACTTCACAGCAAGTCTTGAACCAAGCACTTCTTCAATACTCACATTTGATGCTTTGATTAATCCTAAGTCAAAAGGTAACCACCAACTGTCCAAAAGCCTGGCAATTTTGAATCAGCTCTGTCAGAGTAAAAATGATATTTGTAGTCATAAAACTTTGCTATATCACTGATAAGTATATACAAATATTTTGGTAGTGTTTTCTGTCATTTCATGTAAATTACTGGTATATGGTATAACCTCTCTCAGATATTAATAGATAAATATTGGTAAAATGTTTACTTATATGCTTATCAAAATACTGGTTTTAACGTGCATGGCATCAAGACTCTACCAGTATCTCCCCTTCCTCGTGGTGCAGTCTACCACCAACTCCTATCCTTTAAAAAATGTAGGAACTGATGGCTCAGCGGTGAAGTAAGAGCACTGACTGCTCTTGCAGAGGACTGGGGTTTGATTCCCAGCCCCCACATGGCGGCTGAGAATCGTCCTTAACTCCAGTTCCAGGAGAATCTGAAGCCCTCTTCTGAGCTCTGCAGCATTGCATGACATGGGTGCACTCACATACATGTGGGCAATATACTCATACACATAAAATAAAAGTAATTTTTTAAATGTAGGAACTAAGCCATAAACCTCATATCCTCTCTTTCTCCTCCTAATTCTGACATTAATTTAGGGAAATTCAGTTTTCATACAAATGATTCCTGCAATACCCAGCTTTCTTAGTTCCTTGCTTTGTTTATGCCCAATGATCTCTTCAACCCCACCTCAGCCCATGGGAAATACTACTACCAGCAATTTCTTCCCTTTAAAATCAGAATGTCAAGATTACGGTGTCTCTGGCCCCATTCCCATTGATGCCTTGTCTTCGACAACATGATTCCACCTGGACCTCCAGATTGCTGCCCGTGTCACCTCTCACCGCCCATCAGACCCAACCTGGCCTAGTGTACATGAGCCTTTTGTTAAAATCACTCTTGGCATATGACCACTATTCCCTTTGTTTCCCACTTCCTCCTATGAGAAAAATCTTGGCCTGATGAAGTTCAACTTTTTACTTATGCAGAGAAATAAGCTCTTAAAATTCAAGATCGTTTTCTTCACATGGAGCACCCAGAAATATCTGTGAAGGGATGTAACAGAGATGCCAAAGAATGAGAATTCCCTGGGGAAATCCACGCTGAGGGTGAGCCCAGACCCCCCGGACCCTCAGGAGGAACCCTTCTCCCAGGGAATTACAAGGTTCTGATAACTTACCTCACAGCTACATTTATATGAAGAGTTTTCCTTCATCTTTTCTTTCATAACCCAAACCCTTTTCTATACATCGCAACACTGTTACAGGCAAATCAGAGAGACGTTTCCAATTCTGGTTGTGCACAAAATCAACATAGATTACTAAAAATCTGTCTGTGTGATGACCTCATGGCCAGTATAAAAAAAAGAAGAAATATGAGAAGATGCCTTCCCTTGAATTCAGAGTCCATATTTGTGTCCAGTAGAATAAGACGTTCATTCAGTATGAGGATGCTGACAGGTTTTAGCTTGCCATGCTGCTGCTGACAGGAAGGCCACGGCGAGGCTGGCTCCTGTGTTTTCTAGTTTGATGTTACTTTTGCTGTTTTCTGCTTCCTATGTATTTTACTTCCATTTCTGTTGCTGAAATATCCTGACAAAAAGCAACTTAGGGAAGAAAGAGTTTATTTTAGCTTTCAGTTTCAGATTATGGTCCATCATTGTGGGCCAGGCACAGCAGCAGCAGGTTGAAGTAGCTAGTCACAGGCATCCACAGTCCAGAGCAGGGTAGAAAAAATGCGCGCACACTTACTTGTGCTGAGCCCCCTCTCTGGTTACACAGTACAGGACCCAGGGAACAGTGATGGGTACAGTGGGTGGGTCTTCCCACTTCAATTAACATAAGACAAACCCTCAGGCTAATCTGATCTAGATGGTCCCTCACTGATACCGGCTTCCTAAATGATTGTGTCAGGTTTACAATTAAAACTGCCTATCACAGCCAGGTGTAGTGGTATCTTTAATCCCAGCACTCTGGAGGTAGAGGCAGGTGGATCTCTGTGAGTTCAAAGGCCAGCCTGGTCTATACAGTGAGTTCCAGACCAAATGGGGATACAGGGAGACCTCATCTCCAAACAACAACGATTAAAAAAAAAAAAACTTGTCCATCACACCATATCATTTTTAGAGACAGATTTCAGAACAGGTGACTCTGACCATGTCAAATAAAGCACATGATGGTTCATAGGGTGCATTTAACTTTGGCTCACAGTGCTTTGAATTACAATTTAATCATAGTTCCTACATTAGTCCATTAAAGTTGCTACACCGTCTTGATTTTTCACACGCAGTTCTTGCTTAGACATCTCGGTGTTCTTCATCCTCCTTACTGTGAAACTCAGTTTCATGCTAGTAGTCTATTTTGT